ACTATCTTGAAAATCGAGGACATTTTCTGTAGAATGTCAAACTTCTTGCTGACTACAGTCCAGTTTTAAAGAAGCACCTAACAAATGTTGTAGAGAAAGCAAAAAGCTGTGATCCAGATAAAAAGGGAAGAGGGAAGTTTGTAACTTTCCTAAGTAAATCTACTATAACAAAGTTATTTGTGATTATTGGTGACATGATAAAGGAGGAAATAGTAAAAGAAGTGGAGATTTCTGGAATATTTTCAATTCAAATGGACTCCACACAAGGTGTCATGATTGGTCTGCCATTGTTGTTCGGTATGTTGCTGGTGATACAGTTAAGGAAAGATTATTACGTCTTGTTGCAGTTGAAGTTCCAGCAGCAAAAACCTACATGCCTTACTAACTGAATCACTGTCCGCTTTAGGATTTAATCTTAAAAAGTGCGTAGGTGATTCTTTTGACAGAGCAGTCAATATGAGTGGAACTTACTCAGGCTTGCAAGTATTAATGAAGGAAGTTTTTCCTAGACACATTCACACTTGGTGTTATGTACATGTACTCAACTTGGTTATTGGTGATGCCAGTACTGTGTGTGTTCCAGCATTCAGTCTATTTGGGCTCCTTAGCAACCCATCAACACGAAATACCAGATGAAACCAGATTAAAAGAAACACTGTGTCACGATTTGGGCACTGGAGCACCAGGAATCGCAAACTCTGGGTCTTGCAGAGCAGTATATTGTGACTGAAATAGGAATGTGCAGGGATACAGGTCTCTGAAAATGCAGGGACAGTGTGACTGCACAACAACCGTAGGTGTGCCAGAGTTGCAGGATCTAAGGAGCCACCTGGTCTTCACCAGAGCTACTGATAGTGTGGATGTTGAGCTGCGGGGCAACACCCAGGTTTTGGCTCCATGACACACCCGTGCAGGCACAGTGCCAGCAGGTACTCGGGGACCACAGCACACTGGACAAGACACAGGGTGCATACAGGATACATAGTACAGAAAAAAGGTGCTAGAGTGAAGATGAAGGGAACACACAACAGTTATACCCACAAAAGCAAGAGATACACAGGAACAGCAGATGGGAATGCAAAGGAGAAAGAAGGGAGGTGCACAATAGTGCAGAGCAAAATAATCAGAGGAAGCAGGAGGCAACCGCAAAACTGAGCAGCAAAAAATGCTGTGGAGAGAACTTACAGCCACCGCAAACCAAAGAGGTACACGGACAGAAAACAGAGGGAATGCAAGAGCACAGGAGGAAGGGAACACTGAAAACAACAAGAGCAAGCAAAGACATAAAATACAAGGTATACTAAAACAGCAATGCCACAGAAAACAGAGAGATCCAGCTACTAGCATGGAGACACGTTGCTAGAACGCTAAAGCACAGGAGCACAAGCCTTTTAATACCTAGGTTCAGGGCGGATTAACAGGAAACCGAGCAGCTCGGACAGGAGGCAAAACCCGGCGCTGGATCAATGTACAAGGAACTGTGACAGACTGGCAGTTCTAACCTTAAAAAACTGGAACATATTGGCAGAACAAGGTGGTCAAGCAGAGCTAGAGCACTTCGAAAGTTATTTGGAAGCTTTGACGATCATTCCAAAGATTTATGCTCTAATTTCATAATTATCTTGAAACAAGTAAGCGAATCCCCTGATTTTCAAACCTCTGTACGCCACGAAGCGCTGAAATTAAGGGAGAATCTCTGTAAATTTGAAACCATCCTGGTATTTTTTACCATTCTTTGCATTTTTTACATCACTACCCCTGTATCAGATTATCTGCAATCGACAGGCCTTGATTTCTTCCAGGCATGGAGAATGGTGAATGGTGCTGTAAAGCGCTTGAAAAAAAAATATGCAGAGACTTTGCTGGAGTTTTGCAGAAGGCAGCTAAATTTATCGATTTTAGTTGGCAAGTTAAAACATTTGTTTGAATAAGTGCTTTTCTGAACCAAGATCCACAAGAACTGCAGAAGGTACTGATAACAAGAAACATTTTGAAATTTCTTGTTACAATGTCCTCCTTGACACTGTAAAGGTGGCCATACACTTTACAACCATCGCAAGACCTTAGTCTTGCGATGGTTGTAAAGTAATTAAAAAAACGTACGATCTGCCCATCTTGGACAGGCAGATCGTACTTGCGTTCATCGCAAGTCCGCCCCGCTGAGGGGCGGGCTTGCGAAGACCGCAATGCTGAACGGGCAGTGTGTACGTGAGCACACCGGCCCATTCGACATTTGTCTCCCGAGCATGCCACAAACGTAAGATTTTCGGCTGGCTTTCGAACATGCTCCTTAGACATAAGACGTGCGACCGTACAGTAAAAACAGTTGCACACCTGCCATACACATTGCGATTATCGTACGATCGCGGGATTTCCCGCGATTATCGTGCGATAATCGCACAGTGTATGGGCACCTTTACAGAGAGTGTGAGGTCAAGATATGCCACTCATGGAGAACTTTATAAGCAAAGTTCTTGCTTTGATCCAAATGGGTTTGAGGAAATACTGGCCTCTTCAGACAAAAGTTAAATGTTATTTCAGAAGCAGTACCAGAAATAGACCCAGTTGCTGTACGTGGAGAACTAATCTCATTGCCTCCAGCTACAAAAATATCCATAAGGGCCTGTTGGATTACAGTGATGATAAAGAGACTGAAAAATTGGATTCAGATTTTAAAGAGCAGCAAGCCAGCTCTAGCTCTGATCCATCCACTTCTGCAGCTGCTGTAAAGAAGGACTCCTGTGTGTCCTGTGCTTTCAAACTATTCTTTTAAGTACTGACTGTGTTCAGTGGCATTTGAGAATCTCTTCTTGGCATATAAATATTTAATTACACTAAGCACTACACAGTGTACATGTGAAAGATGCTTTTCCAAGTTGAAAATCTTAAAATCAAGACTATGATCATCACTGCCACAACAAAACCTGGAGCCATTGATGCTCATTGCAGTAGAAAAGCAAATTGCACTAAACATAAAGAGGATTATTCACTAATGAGCTGAACAATATAGCCGTAGCTTCGGCTGCTAGTGCCCTTCGGCAGCTGAACAGCTCAGCCAAGCCGAACGCATATGCTTTGGCTTGGCTGAGCCGAAGTCAAAGCCGAAGTAGGGAGAACGGTCTGCCGGAGCAGACCATTCTCCCTTCAAATGTAGGAAAAGTTAGGAGGGACCCCCACCCCAGATTAAAATAGGTGTGTGGGGTTTCCCCCTAAAATCATACCAGGCCCTTTAGGTCTGGTAGGAATTTTAAGGGGGAACGCGGGGTCCCCCCTAAACTTCACAGGCCTGGCAGGGCAAGAAAGGGGGGGGGGG